AGGTTTGAAAGAAACAAGTGAACTGCATATGCAGGAAACTCAAACTCCTACTGATTCTCTCCCTCATTCACAACTTTATTTATGGTCTCAAGAGGAATTCTCCATGATCAGCTAACAGAGTAAGAAGGAGCATATGTTTAATTTATACATGAGTCTGCACAAAATCCAGGCATCATTCAAAAGTGGAAGGAAGCAGGGCGCTCTGTTGGCATATTCCGGAGGCTGCTGTACTGTAAGCCAAAAGTGGAAGGAGGCTGTCTAAAAAGTGTCCTTAAATGACATCAGTGAAGGTGAATCCACTCTTTAGAAAGTTTTTATTGGTAGATCTGGATAGCTACTTGGAATCGGAAAAGAGAAAGGATGAGGTATGAATCCATACTGATTCATTATTTATGGCTGACAGATTGGTTAGCTGATGATAGCCATAAATAAAACAATAGTATCTGTGTTATTACAGCATAGAATATAACACTTGTAATGGCTTCAGAATATAAAGATCATTATGACCAAAAGAAAACAGAATTGTGAAGGAATCCGTCTCTCATACTTTGGACATGTTACTAGGAAAGGATATTTCTTGGCAATGGACATCATGCTTGGGGCTTGGGAAGAGGGAGAGTCAGCAAAAAGCAGACCACGCTAATGAGATGAATTGGCAGTGACCACAGCAAAGGGCTCAAGCATGTCAGAGATGGTGAGGATAGCCCAGGATAGGACAAGGTTCAGGTCTGTTGTTCATTAAGGTAGTGTGATATCACACAATGTTCTACCCATAGAACCCTTCAGAATTCCAACTTGAGGCTTGCATTTGCTCTTTAGTTCTTCCAGCTTGACAAATGTTGAATGTCTCTTCCCTTTTGGGTTTCTAACTCCAGGTCTTTGTACATTTCGTTATAATATTTTGATTAGTCTTCTTGAGCTACCCTTTGAAATATTCTCTTAAACTCTCCTTTTAATCATTTCCCCCCTTTACTTTAGCTTCTTTACATTCAAGAGCAAGTTTTAGACTCTCTGCTGGTATATTTTTTTATGTTCCCTTTGTTTCATGTATATTTTTATTGATTTATTTATTATCAGATGTAGCCATTTTCAGGGACTTTAGTGATCTCAGTTATCCTTAAGGTCATAACATTGTTTTAATATTATCAGCTTTAAAAATACTTCTGCAGAAGCATATACAGATAAGCAGAGTAAATAGCTGGCTTCTTTCCTATATGTGTAATGATCTTTTGCTTTCTTCATGTATGATGTCATCCCGTAACTTGTCTGGTCTTTGGTCTTTAGTGTTCAAGGCAGCAAAACTATTATTGAAAATATTTTTTAAAATTTAGGCAGGATAAACTAAAAATTTTACTCTAGCTTTCATAGACTCCTTTTAATTTTGTTCAATTTGCTCATGAGCAATTAATGGCCTTGGTATGACTATTGATATTGGGATTTTTCCATTGTACTTTCCTATAAATAGTCAATTTGATTTCTGTGTATTCCACCGAGGTCCATGTGTATAGCCAGCATTTCTATTTTTTTTAATTTTTATTATTTTTGTGTGAGTGTACCATCAAATCAGATCTGACTGGTACAGGAGGAGATTGTCCCTCCTTCCCCGGCACAGCATCTGGTGGATTCAAACCGTGCACCTCTGGGATTATAGTTGCAGCTCCTTGCCACTAGGTCACCAGAGCTCCCCAGCATTTCTATTTTTTAAAGGCATTTACAATTAATAAATCATAGATTGTACAATATTCTGTCTTTTGATTTCCAGTCTCATATGTGTCACCAAGGCCATATTTTCCAGCTACCAACCCTTCTTTGTTTCTAACTTTGCATTCCAGTCATGATTATTATTATTAATGTATCTTAAATGCATGTTAGATCAATTTCAGATTGCAGAAGGTGGTAGAAATCCTCAACTTCTTCAACTTTGGATTTATTGGTTGGTGCATATATTTGAATAATAACTGTAGTAACAGGTCCTCTTTGTATGCATGTGAATATTAGCCCATCACTGACAGCACTGTACTTCAGAATAGATCTTGAAATGTTCTTTTTTATGATGAATATGACACCATCCCTCTTCAATTTGTCTTTCCCAGGATAGTAGTAAATCATGTGATTGTCTGATTCAAAATGGCCAAGACCAGTCCATCTCAGCTCACTAATATTTAGGACGCATCGATCCTTATGTGTGCCATTTTGGTTTTTGACACTTCTTGGCAGCATCACGATGGGTGATAAAGAGGTTGAGATTGTTAACAGCTTCAGTTTGCTTGGCTCTAAAATCAACAATCTTGGTACCAGCATCCAGGAAATTAAAAAATTAATTGCATTGAAAAGTCAGCTAACAGATACCTCTCCAAAGTATTAAAGAACAATGATGTCAGTCTGGAGACTAAGGTGCACCTGATACAGGCCATGGTCTTTGCAATTACTTGCTATGCGTCAGAAAGCTGGACAATGACTAGGGATTATAGGAGAATTGATGCCTTTGAGCTGTGGTGCTAGAGAAGAGTATTTAATATACCATGGACTGCTAGGAGAAAAAAAACACATTTGTCCTAAAGAGAGTGGAGCCAGGCTGCTCCTTGGAGGCAAGGATTCTGAAGCTTCATCTGACATACTTTGGACATGTTGCAAGGCTGGATCAGTCCTTGGAGAGGGACATCATGTTTGGGAGGGTGGATGGACAGCGCTGGAGAGGAAGACCCCTGATGAGGTGGATTGATGCAGTAACTAGGGTAATGGGGATAGGTGTTTCAGAGACAGTGAGATTGACATGGGCTAGAGCAGGGTTTAGAGCTATTGTACATAGGGTTGCTGTGAGTCGCAGGCCACTCAACGGCACATAACAACAACAACAACAGTTTTCCAAACTCATATTTTGTATTTTCCACATTTTGATTGTTAATGTATGTTTGCACTGTTTCTTCTCATATTTTGTTATATCACATCAGCAAATGAAACTCTTTTATTGGTTGAAAGCTTTTCTCTAGTCAAGTCATTAAAGTACATTCTACATTGAGCTTTAATGGCCTAATGAATAAGAAATTGCATGGCCAACTCAAAGGCTGGTGGTTCAAATCCACCACCTGCTCTAAAGGAGAAAGATGAGCAGTCTCCTCCTGTGTGATTTAGAGCCTCTGAAAACCCACTGAAGAATCAGCTATGAGTCAGTTCCAACTCAACAGTAATGAACAACAAGTGCTTTGAGGAAGCAATTCCTCACCAGGTGTATTTTGAAATGCCTTCCAAGTTAAAAGACTCATCCTCCAGCACAATATCAGACAATGTTTCACTGCTTTTCAAACAAGTCTGTCTTCAAGGAAGTGCAACCAGGCTGCTCCTTAGAGGCAAAGATGGTGAAACTTCATTTCACCTACTTTGGGCATGTTATCAAGAGATGTAAGCCTTTTAAAAAAAAGACATCATGCTAGAAAAGGTGGGAAGTCAGAGGGGAAGATCTTCGATAAGGTGAACTGACACCATGACCATAACAATGGACTTGAGCATATTAGAGATCATGAGGATGGCACAGGATAGGGCAAGGCTCAGATCTGCTGTTCAGAGGATGGCCGGCTAAATGTCGCAGTCAACTTGATGGCGCCTAACAACAAAATAGGGCTCCAAAGACCCATTATTTCAGAAATGAAAGGCCAGTCCTGCTTCATCTGAAAAAAAGAAAAACATGTATACACAAATCTCTGGTGCTCTAGTGTGAAGGGAGTTGTGATGTCAACCCGGTAACACACCATTCTAATCCACTGTCAGCTCTGCAGGAGAAAGAAGGGCAATTTCCTCCTGTGTGATTTACTGCCTCTGAAAACCCTCTGGAGGGTCAGCTATGAATCAGTTCTGACTTATAACTCTGCTGGGGAGGGGTGTATGTAAAGTAGACACTGACCCTCCAGCAGGTTTTCAGAGGCTGTAAATGTCACAAGAGGAGACGGCCATCTTTCTCCATCAGAACAGCTGGTGGATTTGAACAATATGCCTTTGGTTTGGCAGTGCAACTCCTTACTCACTAGGCCACCTGAGCTCCCCCAGAGATACAAGAGAGGTGTCAGATGTGTGCATGTATGTGCCTGCGCACACGTGTATGATTTACTTTTATGCCATATCTACAAGAAATATCCTTGTTGGTTGTTTATAGCAGATTTCATCATGGAACTGATACTATTATATCCCATCTCATCAAAGGACTGACTGTACCACAGCTGCCAACTCAGAGAATAAAGTGTAGAAACCCTAATATTAAGATCCCCTGGCTAGGTGCAGGTCAGGACAAAGGGAGCGTAAACAATACCAAAAGCTGCAACGTATGCAATGTATCTCATGATATATGCTGGTTATTGAAAAAGCTGATTGACAGAGTTGAACTCATTTCATCTTCAAGACTATACCCTGTGATGTCGGTTCTATTAGCATCCCTATTTTACAGATCAGGAAATTTGGTCTTAGAAAAGTTAAGCAACTTGCCCAAGTATACAGCATCACTAGAACGGAAATCCAGGCACACCTGACTAACCATTCCTGGTCTTAAGGATGATACCGGCACTATTGATTAAAATGTATAAGAGTTCCTGTTCTATTCCTTTTTCTACTCCTTAATGTAAGGTTAACAGTCCTCTATCAAGTTATCTCCTACTGTATCTTTCTGAGCCCCCAGCCAGCTATAACCTTTTTACCAACCTTAATAATAGGAAATAGTTTGATCACCTGGGAATTCTAGAGATGTGTCTACTATTTGGTGGGGTGGGTAGGAAGGATGGGTAGTTACCCCCTCAACATGGGGCTCTTACGCCACGTGTGACGCAAATCTGCGTAAGAGCCGTGGGTGGGAATGTCGTCACCATCCACCCGCGATTGGCCGGGTTGCCTTAAGAGGGGCGTGCAGGCTCCGCCCGGTGGGTGGGAGTGGCAGGCCCCGCCTCGGTCCCTCTGCGGGGCTCCGGCCAGCGTCGTTGCGGCTTCGCCGGTTGAGGGAGCGCGCTGAGCCGGGAAGGATGCGGCGCCCGCGGCGGCCTGGGGGACCTGGGGGCTCCGGGGGTCTCCGGCTGCTCTTCTGCCTCCTGCTGCTGGGCAACCGCCCAGGGGGCTGCAACGCCATTAGTGCCCACGGTCAGGAGAAAACCTGGGGGGAGGGGAGAGGGAACTGGGGGCAAAACTTGGGGGAGGGGGAAGAAGGGGAGTGTCCCAGAGTGGGACGCTCATGTAGAATCTGTGCGCAGGCTGGGGCAAAGGCTGACATGAGGATGGGAGGGCATCTGGGAGGGAAAGGGGCGTAGGCCGGAGGTGGGGCTCTGAAGATGGGGGCGGGACCTAGAAGAAGCGGTTGCAGGGGAAGACTGTGGGTTCCGGAGGAAGATTTGGGGTGTATGTACGTTGGGAGACCTAGAGCTGGGATAGGAGACCACAGCAGAAGCGAGTAGCTCCAGGGTTCCAGGCGGGTGGAGGCAGGTGCCGCGCGTTGCAAGATGAAGCTAAGACAGAACCTGGAACTCCGTGTCCAGGGCCGTGGGCATCGGTCCGGTTCCCATAGAGAACTGGGAAGACAAGGGTCAGGGCCTCTCTCTACGACTAGAGGAGTCTGACTGCTGCGTCCTGGTCTCCGTGTCCATTAAGAAGGGGAGCTGCGGAAGGGAGCGGAAGAGGAAGCCGAGGGAAGGGTCCCCCCTCCCGCGCCCCTCCCCACAGCCGGGCCTGGTGCTGACTCACGTCGGGCGGACGGAGTCAGCGCTGACTCACGGGCTGGGGGCGGGTGGGGGGAGGGAGCCGCACGGTGGACCGGGCACAGCCCCGCCATCGGGCGCCCTCTTTCCCCACCTCGGCTGGAAGGCCAGCGCTGGGTACTTCCTGTGGCTCGGGGTGGACAGTGGGACAGAGCGGAGCGGTCAGTTCGCCCTGTTAACCCCTCCTTGCCGCACGACTGCCTCTGAAGAGCCCCTAGCTGAGGCCGGCTCGGTACTTCAGCACCATGGACAGCGCCCGCTGCTAATAGCGGGGGTGTGGCCTGGATCACTCCTTTTTCTTTTGAGTGTCCGGCCAGATGCCCAATGGTGTGCGGAGGGGTGTGTGTGTGTGCCTGTGCGCTCTCTACAATTTCTACTTCCGGAGTTGGTTTCCCCGTAATTTGTTCCAAAACTCTTGCACAGTAATTCTGTGAGAGCAGGCATAGGATGTCCCACCACCTCTCTTCCCGTGCACCTGGAAGGTTAAGCAAACCGAGGCTTTTAGGAAAAGGATGTAGGTTCACAGATGCCAGAACTCCAAAACCAAGCCCCTTGCTGCCTTCTCGTAAGAACGCTAGGCCTCTTTATTTAAAGCTTTTCTTACAAGGGCGGGCCCCAGTTCTCCTTTTCCCAGCCTAACTGTCCCTCTTGATGTCCACTCTGTGGTGTCTGAGCCTCGACTCACCTGTCCCACTCCAGGTTGTCTGTTTGACCGAAGGCTTTGCTCCCACCTTGAAGTCTGTATTCAGGGTGAGTGAGACCAGGAGTCACAAGGAAGGGGTGGGTGGGCTGTGGGAACATAGTAAGAAAGTAAAGAGAAGAGGACTGGGAGGAATGTGGGGTCCTGGGCTTCGCGAAGGGGCTGGAGAAACAAGATCTTCTGAAGCCAGAAGAGGTGGCAAGAGTTCTGTTTGCTTTCAAACTGGACTTTGGAGGGCCTCTTCTCCAGGCACCTGCCTTAGGCACCTTTTGTGCTCTTAGATGGCTTGTTTGGACAGTGTCAGGTGGGAGTGGGGCAGGTCCGGCCCCTTCTGCAAGTCACCTCTCCAGTTCTCCAGCGCTTACAAGGCGTGCTCCGACAGCTCATGTCCCAAGGTGAGACCTGGGTGCACGAGAGAGACTTGGTCACGTCTGGGTAGGGGAGTGACCTGAAGCATAGGCTTTCTCCTGTCCTAAACACTAATCATGAATAATTCCTATCACTCTCACTTCTGGAATCTCATCTTCCCAGACCTTGATGGAGAAGGAGATAAGTGTGGAAGGGGGGTCCTAGAGATAAGCTTTCATGCTTGAACTCTGGAAAGACCCAGCAGAGACTTGTAGAAGAAGCTCTTGGGAAAAGCCAGCTTACATCACTTTGTGTCTAGCCCCACTCATTGAAATTGGCAGAGTGCTCAAGAGCCAGGAGTAGGGGACACTCAGCCAGGAGAATATCACACCCATCCAACTAGTGGGAAATAGGAGGAATTTCTGACAAGATGGCCTTGAGTAGGTAAGAATTCAATGCGTAAATGAAAGAATTGCCTTTAAATAGGAGCACAAATAGTCTGCCTAGTGTTCATAGGCAAGAAGACAGTCTGGAGATCTGGCATGGAGGTAGATTCTAGAATATGGGTTAAGAGCAGCATTAATCATACGTTCAAAACAGAAGGTGGAGAAAGGAAGATGATTCCTTTGCAATATGTGACCAATCATTCCTAAGAACAATTTCATGAGAGGGAAGGGTAAACAGGAAGAGCTACTTCAGCACAAGATGATAGTGATGATAATGACAAGAATGATGATCACATTAATTGCTTTATGCTTTAGAGTTTTTTAATACTTCAAAGTCTCTGAACTTATCTCCACACTAGCCCCAGAAAATACCTATTAGTCTCACATGAAAAATGTAACAATTAGACAAGCTTTGGTGGCCTAGAGGCAAGAAGCTGCAATGCAGTCCCAGAGGTGTGTGGTTCAAATCCACCAGATGCTCTGCTGGAGAAGGAGGGACAATCTCTTCCTGCACCAGTCACATCCAAATTGATGGTACACACACACAAAAATAATAATTTTTTAAAATATTTGTTAAAAAATGTAAAAATTATGATCAACAAAAAGGGCAATAATATAAGCAGTAATTATTATAATGTTAAATAATAATATTTCATTAAGTGACAGGCATATTATAAGCATTTGATCTATTCTATTAATATTTTAATTATCACAAAAATCTTAGAAAGTGTTAGGGAGCTCTGGTGGCTTAGTGGCAAGAAGCTGCACTGCAATCCCAGAGGTACGCTGTTCGAATCTACCAGATGCTCTGATGGAGAAAGAGGGAAAATCTCCTCCTGTACCAGTCAGATCTGATTTGATGGTACACACACAACAAATAATAAAATAAAATTAAAAAAAAAATCTTAGAAGGTGTTAACCTCAATTTTACGGATGAGAGAATTGAGGTTTAGAGAAACTTGGGTTACTTACCCAAGGTCGAAAAATTTGCAGGTGGTATAGGCAGGATTCAAACATAGGTTGTCCCCCTCTAAAGTCTGTACCTAAGGGAATAAAGAGGAAACAGATCAGGTCACCCGTCAGGTCTCCAGATCCTCCCTACAATACCTGCAATGCACTCAGTGTGGCAGGGGAGAGGCACTGTTCCAATTCCCCACTGGTCCTTTAAGAGGTAGCCCTCAAGATGCCCCAGGAGTCTACTTCACCACATCCTGTCCCCTGGCAGGATTGTCCTGGCATGATGATCTCACTCAGTACGTGATTTCCCAGGAGATGGAGCGCATCCCCCGGCTTCGCCCCCCACAACCCTATCCAAGGGACAGGTAGGCAAGCCTTTCTCAACTTGAACATGGCAAGGCTGGTGAGCTGTGGCTGTCCTGTAGGACAGAGGAAAGAAGAGTCAATGTCAGCAAACTGTATAGATAAAAGCAGCTCAGGAATGGTTACTCTCTTGACTCCCACACGCTCAATAGGCACTGAGCTCATCCCTGGGGATCCAGCAAAACAAGGGCATTAAAGTTCAATGCTTTAAATTACTTTTCAATTAAAGTTTTATTACTAGGTGAAGTTAAATATGGCACAGGACCATCATTTAGGGGGTTAAGACCTCTTAAGGTGTTGTTCAGACCCTGCAAAGCAGAGGAAATCCATTGAGGCCCACAGCACACAAATGAATCCAGCGTGAAAGGGCACAAGAAAGAGCAATCCTGAATGCTTGAATATACACATGTGGAGGGTCAGCTGAGGGGACACCACAGACACAGGCCACTGGAGGAACACAGCCACAACTCATCCAGAGGGGTTTCCGATGCCCTCATCTACTTTTCTGTCCTGTCCAGCCCCAGCCTTCTGCTTCTCTAGCCTCTGCAGCTTGGGGGTAAGCGGGGGGGGACGGGGACCTAGGCATGTTTATCATGAAGGCATAGGACATCTGCTCGGGCTGTTTGTCTCTTCCCCAGTGCTGCTCCCTTCTCCCCCAAAGCTTCCTCAATTGTCATGACATCAGACCCAGTCTCAATGTAAAGACTGTCTGACTCCCACTATTTCTGCTTTTGCTTTCCTCCTCAGATCTGGCTTAGCGTCTAGGAGACCTGGCCCTGGGGAGCTGCTTTCAAAGGGCATGCCCACTGGCCCTGCCCCTGCAACCCAGCACCTCCTTCCTCGGCCTTCAGCAGGTGGGGGTGGAGCTGGGGCAGGCTCCTCCCTGTCCCCCCTGCAGGCTGAGCTGCTGCCCCCTCTCTTGGAGCACCTGCTGTTGCCCCCACAGCCTCCTCACCCTGCCTTGAGTTATGAAACCGCCTTGCTGCAACCCTACCTCTTCCACCAGGTGAGCCCTGGACTCCAGTCCTGCCCCACTCAGTCCCCCAGCCTGACTTCTGCTCTTACTGGGATCTCTGGTTTCCTACAGTTTGGATCCCGTGATGGCTCTCAGGGCTCAGAGAGCTCCCCAGGGATGGTCAGTGTCGGCCCCCTGCCCAAGACCAAACTCCCTGCCCTCCTCAGCAGAGCTGCCTCCAAGGGCATGTTTGGGGCCCACCCTAGCCTCTCCTATGGGGACCCTCCAGGGCCTTCACCTGCTCAGCTTTTCCAGGATTCAGGGCTGCTCTACCTGACCCAGAAGCCTCCAGCGCCCAGCAGGGCCAGGGTGCCAAGGCTTCCAGAGCAAGGGAGCAGCAACCAGGAGGTTGCAGAAGATTCCTCGGAGGGCTATGAGAAGGAAGGACCAGGGGCTCGTGGAGAGAAGCCTTTCCCAGCTGTCCCGCCAGGTAGCAGACTCCTCAGCACCCACCTGTCTGCCGGTGGGGGCCACCTGGGGCATCTTCCCATCTGTCCATGTACTTACTAGCATGCCCAGAATATCATTCATGCACTGATCTGGTGCCTACAGTCAGTCTGATCTGTGCTAGGCCCTGGGGATACAATGGAGCGGCATGACCCTTGAGAGTCAACGTGTCCAGGTGGGCCTGACATGAAGTCTTGGTCTCCGGGAAGGTTTTTTTGTTTCCTTGTGTACAAGGAAGGGGAGGATATCCTTATCCTGGTGTTTGAGACATTCCAAAGGCTAATTCTCACCCATCTTCCACTCACCCATCTTCCACTCACCCATCTGCATCCCGTAAGTTCATCCCACCATGAGCACTAAGCCCAGTGTCTGGCTCCTGGCAGATGTCGCTCTGCAGAGACTGGCGGCTGTGCTGGCAGGCTATGGAGTGGAGTTGCGTCAGCTGACCCCAGAACAACTATCTACCCTCTTGACCTTGCTGCAGCTGCAGCCCAAGGGGGCAGGAAGAAACCTGGGTAAGTGTCCAGGCAGAGGGACTAGCCACTCCTGGCAGGGACCAACCTCTTTCCTCTCTTCTCATGACCACACGAAGCAGCCTGGAGGGGGAAAATTAGGGTCACAAGAAAAGAGTTCTTTTGAAACCCAGGGTCACTGCCAGCCAAGACCAAGGAGCAAAGAGCAGTGTGGTGAGTTGAGGAGTCAGGTGAGGAGAGGACTGGAGGGTAGAAGTAACAGAAAAAGAAGCCAAGGGTTGATGTGATCAGCCAGGAGGACACCCAGAAAAATGGTTAACGATAATGTGTCCAGTGCTAAGGAGAAACCAATAAACAATAAGCATAGAACAAAGCGGAGCTTTGAATGTTGTGGCCAGTGGCAGAGGGAGGGGTTAGAAAAAACAATTAGAAGGGAAGTGAGACCATGCTTGGAGTCAGACCAATAAGAGGGCTCGGCCAGTGTCTGAGAAAAGAGGCCACCGCAGAAGCCCTCTCACCCACTGTGTCCTGTGGGCCAACCCTGACCTTTTGCTATTCTCACCCTTCCCAATTCCTACAGGTGGGGTAAATGCTGGAGCTGACATCAAGAAAGTGAGTCCCCCGCATCTCCTTGATCCTTAAAGTGCCCCACAGTGCTCTCTCTTGTCTCCGGATCAGGAACCCTAATCCATACCCAACCCCTTATCTTGCAAATGGGGCAGCCAAAGGCCCAGACTGTGAATCATTGCCTCAGTCTCACATCAAGTGGGACCCAGCTGGGTGCAGAAGCTGATCATGAGTCAGGCTTTCTCATTGGCTGCTCTTTTCACTGCTGTCCTTCAAACCATCCTCCAAGGAGCCTGAGCAGAACAGGGCTGAAGTAGACAGGCTCCCGGTCCCTGTAACTTGAAGAGAGAGCTCTTGGCCACGTTGGACAGCACTAAAAGCTATTTCGCCCTTACCATAGTTTCCCTTGCTTGGGTATATTCTCTGTGAGTCTAATCCCATCCCAATCCAGGCCCACTCTTGCTCATTTATTTATGCATTCACTCATCTATCTGGCTACAATTTGCTGGTGGCTCTGTCATGGACCCCAGGGAAGAAAGACAAGCAAGTCCTAAACTCTCTTGTGGGAACTAATAGTCTAAGAAGTAGGCCTCCCCTCTTCTCCCCACTCTCCACATCGAAGTCCAGGCCTGGTCACACTGATCTGATCTCTTCCAAACAGACAACAGAAGAGGAGGAGATACAGGGTGCAAACACAGCAGCACCCCCATCCCCCACGGCCCCCCTGCCTGGACACCCCACCTCCAGTAACGCCCAGCAAGTACTGAGCTCCCCAGAGTCCTCCAAGGCTGCTGACCTCCCTGTCACACCTGTCCTGCTGGAGAAGAAAAGTCCTCTGGGCCAGAGCCAGCCCACAATGGCAGGGCAACCCTCTGCTCGGCCTTCTGCCGAGGAATATGGCTACATCGTCACTGACCAGAAGTAAGAGTCCTGCTGGGGTCATCTCTCCAGGCTCCTAGAGCAGGAAGCAGCAGACCAAAATCCAGATGTAAAGGAAAGAGGGAGGTGATGGGTTGCTCCGCACTTCAAGGGGTGGCCTATTACAAGAAGAGACTGAGTGGGGCCCTCAATTGTCTTCCTCTGTCTGCTCCCCACCTCCAGGCCGCTGAGCCTGGCTGCAGGCGTGAAGCTGCTGGAGCTCCTGGCTGAACACGTGCACATGTCCTCGGGCAGCTTTATCAATATCAGGTGGGACTGGTGTCTTGCTGGGGTGTCTGGGATCTAGGAGATAGCTGGAGAAGGAAGTGGCTAGAGGGGCCCGGAGAAAGATGAGAAGAGTTCTGGGCAAAGGGCCAACATGGGTCCGAGAGATGCTTCCAGCTGTACATCTAGCCCCATCCGATGCCTTCCTGGCCTCAGACACCACTGCTGGGCATCTTGGATGAGCTGCACCCTCATTCTCTAATGAGGACAGGCCCAGCTCCAGACTCGCTCCTAGAATCTTGGGTCTCAGGTTGATGAGACAGTGACATAGCTCCAATTTGGCAGTGTGGTGGGACCAGCCCTGACATTTCGCATCCGGCACAATGAGCAGAACCTGTCTTTGGCTGATGTGACCCAGCAAGCTGGTAAATACTGCCCTGACCTCAACCTTGGCCTTGGCCTTGGCCCCAGTCCACGTGGGATAGACCTAGGCCTGTGGATGATGCTCCCCTGATATATTCCAAGCCTACATGGGTCCTCCCGCCATCTGGCACAGCATGACATAGGATGGGGACCGTAAGGAGTGGCCCATGTGGAGCTGGAGAGCCTGACTCACATCCTCTCTATAGGGCTGGTGAAATCGGAACTGGAGGCCCAGGCAGGGCTCCGGATCTTGCAGACGGGAGTGGGACAGGTATGAGCTACCTGGAGATTCAAAGCCCCAGAGGGCTGGTGTCCCTTACCACCTGACAGAACTGGAGAAGTGGAGCTGAAGCATCATTACCTGGCCGCCTTGCTAGTTTCGCCAAAGCACCCACCCCTTCCCCGTGCAGTTTTCCTTAGGACCAGCAGATGGCGACAGTGATTCCTCTTCCCTGACCACGCTGAGTTCTATAATAGTGCTGTATCCTTGGCAAGAACTAGCTGAGATGCCCTTGGCCTTCTGGAGAAAATTACAAGGGAAGTCCTTGGGCAGAAAGGACATTGTACTCAAAATATATTTCCATTCTGCATCCAACATTGATGCCTCACTTTCTACTTTTCAATTCCTTAGAGAGAGCATTGCTCTCTCCACTTTTAAAACCAAATCTCTGGCACTGAAGTGTGGTTGAATTAGCGCGCTGACATTTGAAAAGGGGAATCTTAAGTTCCTCCGAGTGCTTCTCTCTGTCCCAGCAAGCTCCTGCCCTCCCAGCTTTTCCCAGGGCACGTCCCAGCAGGGTGGCACAAGCAGGGGTGAGGAGCAGCCTCCATGATTCTACCCTTGTTCCTGCAGAGGGAGGAGGCTGCCGCAGTCCTTCCCCGGCCAGCCCACGGCACCTCTCCCATGCGCTCCGTGTTGCTTACTCTGGTGGCCCTGGTGGGCGTGGCTGGGCTGCTGGTGGCCCTGGCCGTGGCTCTGTGTATGCGGCAGCATGCACGGCAGCGGGACAAGGAGCGCCTGGCAGCCCTGGGGCCCGAGGGCGCGCATGGGGACACCACGTTTGAGTACCAGGTGTGTAGCCCCAGAAACTTGCTGAGGACAGGAACTGGAGTGGTTCTGGGAATCTAGGTCTTGCATGGGGTGGGATTGGAACATGGATGGCGAGTGAGCTGGAAATTGAGAGCTATTCTAGCAGAGACTGGAGGAGCTCCCGTGGAGCAAGTACGGGTGCATTTTGGATAGGGTGGGAATTGGGAACAGAGATTCTGAAAGTTCTCAGTGCTGACGTTCTGGAGGTCTGGCCTCTGCTCTGTAGTGTCTAAGGGTGTCTTAAGTACCACCCATGCAGAACTGCTTTGACAAGGATGGAAGGCCCTACTCCAGGACATAAGGGTTCCCCATCAAGTCAGTGAAGACCTAGAACTGAGCCCAGGACCCTTCTGGAAAGGCTTTAGGGGACCCTGGGCTCCTGGTTATCCTGCAGGACCTCTGCCGGCAACACATGGCCACGAAGTCCCTGTTCAATCGGTCCGAGGGTCCGCCGGAGCCCTCACGTGTGAGCAGCGTGTCCTCCCAGTTCAGTGACGCGGCACAGGCCAGCCCCAGCTCCCACAGCAGTACGCCCTCCTGGTGCGAGGAGCCAGCACAGGCCAACATGGACATCTCCACAGGGCACATGATCCTGGTCAGGACTGGGCTGGGGCAGGACGGGGCACGGCAGGGTGGTGTGAGCGGCGGGGCTGGCCTGCAGGCCCGAGCCAGGCTGTGGTGACCCCACAGGCATACATGGAGGACCACTTGCGGAACCGGGACCGCCTGGCTAAGGAGTGGCAGGCCCTGTGTGCCTACCAGGCAGAGCCGAACACCTGTGCCACCGCCCAGGGGGAGTGCAACCTCAAAAAGAACCGCCACCCTGACTTCCTGCCCTGTGAGTGAGCCTGGCTGGCCAAGCTAGCCCAGCCCCCTCTATGGGGTGTTCTAAATATGCCTGGGGGGAGGGTCTGAGCTCCTGGCTCAGGATGGGTGGCAGGGTGCCAGGATTTCAATGACCAGAGCGGACATCTGGGGTGGGCTGTGTGCAGATGACCATGCCCGCATCAAGCTGAAGGTGGACAGCAGCCCTTCTCGGAGCGATTACATCAACGCCAGCCCCATCGTGAGTGGCCTGGCTCCAGCCTTTACCTCTGCCCCATCCTTCTTCTTCCCTGAGCCCTGATGTATAAACTCCATTCACGGTGGCCACCACTATTCCATCCGGGTATCCTGGCATGAAAACAAGGGGATCAGGCTCCCCAGACCCTCTCACTCTCATTAACCAGGGCCTCCCTGCAGTAGAAGGCCTCTCCTGACTCATGATGTATCTTCCCTGCCCTCAGATTGAGCACGACCCTCGGATGCCAGCCTACATCGCCACCCAGGGCCCGCTGTCCCACACCATTGCAGACTTCTGGCAGGTGGGTTCTTGGAAGGAGATGTCTCTGGGGACTAGATGGCCTTACGGCCATCCAGATTAACCAGGTGTTAGTGAGGTTAAAGGGGTACAGACCGTGGCTTCTTCTGTCCCTAGATGGTGTGGGAGAGTGGCTGCACCGTCATCGTCATGCTGACCCCACTGGTGGAGGATGGTGTCAAGCAGTGTGACCGCTACTGGCCAGACGAGGGCTCCTCCCTCTACCATGTATACGAGGTTAGTGGGACTGTGAAACTGAGACAGGGGAGGAGGGAAAGGGGATGGTGGAGTGTTCGTGAATACATGAACATATATAAGTCCACAAACATTTCTACAAGTACATGTGTGTCCTGTCTATGCCGAAAAAAGAATGTGAGGAGTGTATGAGGAAGCGAAGGAGCCCTGGTGGTGCGGTGGTTAGGTGCTTGTCTGCTAAGCAGCTGGCGTTTCAAACCCCCGGGAAGACGATGTAGCAGCTGGCTTCTGTAAAGGTCACACCTTGGAAATTATACAGGGCACTCCTACTCTGTTCCGCAGGGTTGCGATGAACTGGAAGTTATTCAGTTGGTAAAGGGTTTGGGTTTAAAAGACAGCGTACAGAATTAAAGCTTTAAAACCAGCAAAGTCGAGGTAAGAAACTAAGAGCCAAGAATAAACGAGACAGGGAAGACAATAGATCCAAGATCAAGGGAACAACCTGTTTCAATTGAGCCTTAGTTCTGAGTTTCCTGGAGACAAAACAAAGAAATGTCACGAGTCCCACATGCTGATGATGGAAAATGGGAACAAATCTTTTCATCCAGAGAGGGCGTGGGGAGGGGAAAACTCCCGCAGAAGAGGAAACCAGATCCTGGGCAGATGTAAGGATCATTCTCTGTTGAGATAAGAGACATCAGAAGCTTCTCACGACTAGATGAACTCTTATCATTTTCTCTTGTAGTGCAGTGGTTAAGCAGTTAGCTGCTACCCAGATGATTATCTGTTCAAAGCCGCCAACTGTTTCTGGAGGAGAAAGATGTGGCAGCCTGCTTCCATAAAGACTGTTTAGTTAGTTTGTCTCCAAGTTAGTTCCATCTCCGACTGGCCCTGTGTGTAAGGGAATGAGCCATTTTCCAGTGCTGAGCGACCCTCACAATCACTGCTGCCCCGGAAGCTTTGGGGGGCAGTTCTGGCCTCTGCTGCGAGGTCGAGGTCATTGTGAGCTGGAATCCACATGTTGGTGACAAGGTCTAACACTCGATAGTCAGCAGACAGCAGAGGAGGGTGGCTCAAGCTGGATTGGTTTGGGTTTTGTATGTATTGATCTTACTCACTGTTAAAGTATTTTTTTTTAATTTTTATTTTATTATTTTCTCTGTGTATGTACCGTCAAATTGGATCTGACTGGTACAGGAGGAGATGGCCCCTCCTTTTCTGGCAGAGCATCTGGTGGATTCGAACCGCATATCTCTGGGATTGCAGTGCAGTTTCTTGCCACTAGGCCACCAGAGCTCCCCTAAAGTATTTAAAAAAAAAAAAAAAAAACCTAATCAAAACATTATGGCATTTCATCTCAGTTTTTATGGTGCATGGAGCATGGCACTTGTGCTACGCTCCGTGAGAAGACCAATGAAAGAAAAGTGTAAAATAGTAGTGTGTCTAATTGGCAAAGCCAGCACCTGCCCTGGGCAGTAGTTACAGACAGGCTGCTGCAGAGACAGCTGGGACAGGTGGGTGCGGAAACTTGCCAGGGAATTTTGAATTTGTGTTGGCCTGGGAGCTGGGACATTTGCAGAGAGGGAGAAAGCGAGGTCTGGATGTGGAGGCTGGAGGGTTCCTGGTGTTTGTGGTCGCCGCCCTGCTCAGGCCCAGGTCCCCTCTTCCGCAGGTGAACCTGGTGTCGGAGCACATCTGGTGTGAGGACTTTCTGGTGCGCAGCTTCTACCTGAAGAACGTGCAGACCCAGGAGACGCGCACCCTCACACAGTTCCATTTCCTCAGCTGGCCGGCAGAGGGCACTCCGGCCTCCACGAGGCCCCTGCTGGACTTTCGCAGGTGGGGACCGCGGGCCCAGGGATGGGCTGGTGTTGGCCAGACTGGCAGATCCTCACCAAGTCACGCCTCCTTCCACTGTCCACTGTCTGCCCCTTCCAGAATTCCCACCAGGCCTGCTGATGCGTCCTCTCTTGCTCCATCTTTCCTCCTCACACCCCATCTCTGTTTCTGGGAGTCTCTGTAGTCTCCCCCTCACTCTTGCTTTTGTTCTGACCCCTTCTCTCCCTCCTTCGACCACCCCCAGTCCCCCTGAATGGCTCCCTTCATTTCTATGTCACCTTCCTCCCTGCCTCTCCCTCCACGCTTGACGCTGCTTCCCATCTCTCAGCTCCAGTCATCGTCCTGTTTGCTCTCAAGGTCGCCAGCCTGATTCTCTTACTTCCTCCGCCCCATTGGTCCTTTTCTAAGCTTTTCACTTCTCTTTCCACTCTTGTGTGTGCCGCCCATTTTCTCCTTCTCTTGCTCTTTCTCTGCCTCTGTCCACTATTTCCCTGGATTGCCTTGTCTCCTCTGCACCTCTCCCCTTCTCTGTCTCCTCTCTCCTCTCCTCCCGTCTTTGCATCTCTGCCTCTCTTTGTCTCTGTTTACTTGCCTGTGGCCTAGTGGTAAGGAATTGCCTTGCTAACCCAAAGGCATGCAGTTCAAATCCACCAGTAGCCCATGGGAGAAGGATGGGCAATCTCCTCCCATATGATTAACTGTCTCTGAAAGCACACTGGAGGGTCACCTATAAGTTGGTTCCAACTCAATGGCACACAACTTTCTCTACAGTTTTGTCTTTACCTACTTCTCTCTTCTGTCTGTGTGTAACATGAGGAAGGCCGAGTCTGACTTCCAACTACTTCACAAAGGGGAATAATCCCCATAAATAATATTTATAGTAACCACAAACATAACTACATGGTCAGGCATGCCACTCTACGTGCTCCTGCACCTATTCCTACTAATCATTGCGTTCAATGTTCACTGCAGCTTGACTCACAGAATTTACTCACAGTTGTGGGGTTTATTAGGGTAACAGGTTTGGGAGGAGGAGAGAGACAAAGACTATAACACAATACAGGTTTAGTCCAGCAGTCCCAAGCCAGATTCAAAAGCACAATTCCTCAATTAGTGAAATTTCAGGTTCAGTTCAGCAGCACAGATAAATTTCTGGTTTCCTTGATCATCCAGCAAACTTGATGTCAGACCACTTACAAGTCAGCTTTCCCTTCAATTATCCAGCAAACAAAATCTTTAACTCTGCCTCCATCTCCAGGGTTCCTCTGACTACACCTTGCTACAGTTACTTCACAACAGTGTCAGTCTCTTCACCTTTTCTCCACTAACATCTCTCACAGTGTGGAAAGTGCTCTCTTATATTGGTCCCACAGTTGTTGATGACCTAGAAGACGTGTCCACAGTTAAGGTAGCCGGAGACCATGCCCCAGACCATGCTGCAGACACCCCTGTCCTCCTCTGTGTCCTTCTCTCTCACTTCCTCCCATTTGTTTTGTTTGTCCTCTCTCCTCCTTCTACCCCTCACTCTTTGTCCTCTCTTCCCTCTGTCTGTCCCTTTCTCTCTCCCTTCTTCCCTCTGTCTGTCCCTTTCTCCCTCACAGATGCCAGTGCCACTTTTGCAGCTAGTATTTGCACTCCAGAAAAGTGATCACTGGCAGGTGTGGCTGCTGCACAAACAGCACAGACAAGCCATGTGGGAGAGCTGGGTGGGATGAGACGCTGAGGGAAGAAACAAAAAGAGTGTGGGAGGATCTCTGGTTCTTGGGAACAGTTTGTGTGCATGTGTATGTGTGTTGGGGCTGGGACATGAAGCTTGCTAAGAGACTTTATTTGTTTTGACATTAAAACAAAGACCAGGCTATGCCTCCAGCCTGTCCTCTCCCCTAGACAGGTAGCTGAGAAGTCTGTCACCAGAGCTTCTGCTGGGCCTCCACCAGCACTGAAAGCCTCCACCTGCCTTGTTGGCCCCTGTCTGACTGAACAAAGGGCGCAGGTGTGGGGGCAAAAGAGCTGGGGAGACTAGAATTCCATCAAAATGGTTTCTGATTGGGACCCCAGGTACCTAAGGCCCAGGCATCTTGAAAACAATTCCAGGGCTCTTATAACTAACGCCCACTTTGCACATTTTCAAATTCTGAGTGGAGTAGTACACCTTGCTTTAAGCCTGCACAAGTAAACAAAAAGATGTTATGTTTCTTTGCTTTAGACTGGGATCATGTAATCTCAATGTATCTGATCAGGATCAGACAAGTAACATACTGCCTAATAAATGCAGTGTCGTGAAGGTCACAAATTTTAAAAATATAAACAGTCTCACTTCTGTAGAGTCAGAATCTAAGTTGCAAGTCCCACAGGCCATTGGCCGTCTTCCCCTCAGAACCACTGGTGGATTCGAACCAACTGAGAGGCGTGACCTTTGGGTTCACAGCTCATCTCTCTATGTGGACTAGGCCACCAGAGCTCATTCAAGCAAAGGAGGTCTTAAAAAGTGACCCTGAGCAAGTTCCTTGACCTCCTGGTGTTTGTACCTATGAAATGAGGATGAAGACACATGCTTTAGATGTTGTTGGAGGTTTAATAGGATAAAACAGATCAAATCTAGCTTAAGTTCCTGGCATTCATTGATTAACTGGATAAACACTCAATTTATTCATTCCACCTACTACTTATCATCATCATCATTAAATGAGGGACTCTGGTGGCCCAGTCTGCAGGGAGATGCGTTGCCAAGCAAGCCAAAGGTTCTCTGGTAGTTCAAATCCACCAGCAGCTAATCTCCTCCTATGAGATTTACAACCTCAGAAATGCAATGATGGGGCATCAGCTATAAGTCAGTTCCAACTTGATGACACGTTTTCATGAAGCTTTTTAAGGAAAAATTATTCCAATTATTTGGAGCCACTGTTGTGATTCTTGTTCAATCTCATCCCTAATCAATGTTCTAAAAAGACATTGTTATTGTGTGCTGTCGAGTTGAAACCCATATCTGACCCCTTTAGTAGGTTGTCAGAAGCAATAAATGGACTCCTGTAAGCCATCCAGTCTCCTGGCCCTACAAGCCTAGGGAAGCCAGAGCAGAAGCCTAAGTTCCCAGCTTCCCCTGAAAATGGCCTGATGACGCCCTAAGTGCTTCTCCCCCGTCCGGGCCCAGACAGGGTATCATAGGTCTGTTCCTGATTCTCAAAGCAAGAGAGTCTTAAGGGGAAAGGCCAAAGGAGACTGGACCATTGAAGGAGAGCAAACCCATGACCCTGATCAGAGGCAGCAAAGGATATGAGGTCCAAACAGCCCCCAGACATGGTACCATTCAGTCACACAGCACCTAGGTTGTAAGACCAAAGCTGAAAGGTTGTCTTCCCCCACCCAAAACTACCCAACTCCGTTAGCTCTTTACACAGATTACCTGTGGATATGTCATCATTGTAAAAACCCTAAAGAGAAATGTGGAACTTGTCATTATCCCATTTTACAGATACAGAAGCTGAGGCTCAAAGAGGCTGAGCTAGTTGTTTCAGATGCATAGCTTGGGTACATGACTCGTAAGTAAGGCAAGCCTCTAGCCACCAAGAGAAGCCTTGGTTCTTTGCCTCCTGTCCTGACTCTGTTTCCTCTGGCCTCTCCCCTCCTCTGCCCTGGTGTGTGAGGAGCAAAGGCTAATGGAGAGGCTGCTGGTGTGGGTTTCAGTCCCCACCCCCAGCTCAGGTGCTGGACCCACAGATCCTTATACCCACTTCTTGTTGCAGGAAGGTGAATAAATGCTACCGGGGCCGCTCCTGCCCCATCATCGTGCACTGCAGGTACGTGGAGAAGGGTGTGCGACAGGGTGGGACAAAGCTGAGAGGGCGCCCCCTCTCTGCAGGTCAGTCAGTCTCCCATGCTCGCTGCGGGCCTCTCCCCTGCACACCTGCAAACCATAGCCTGTGGGCCAGATCCAGCATGCTGCCTGCTTCTTTAACCTCCTAGGAACTGAGAATGGTTCCTAAATGGTTGAGGAACACACACACACACACACACACACACACACACACACAAAGACACCGACAGACTCTGTGGCAGCGCAATTACTACTTACTGTCTGGGTCCATGGGAGCTCTGGGTGGAACTCATTGTATGTTGTGCTGCTAACTTAAAGGTCAGCAGTTTGAATCCACCAGTTGCTCCTTGGGAGACAGATTGGCTGCCAACCCCCTGGGCAGTAGTGGGTCTGGCATGTTGGGCCATCACCCAAGAGTGCGTTTAACAGAAGCCTGATCCGAGGCTGGAGTGCACCAGGCCCCTTCCTCCTGCCCTCTCCATCCCAGGGTCTCCAGGCCTCTCCTTTGTGGTTGTCCAGTTGCCCAAATGACACCTCAGGGCTCACAGGGTCCCTCCGCTCAGACCATGCATGCACCCCTAAGGCCACTCTTTGTGGTCAGCCCTCTTCCCTCCTCCCCTACCTGACCTCTGCCCCTCAGACTCCTTCCCTCCTTCCTCTGCTGGGCCCTGACCCTCTGCCTTCTGTTTCAGTGATGGTGCTGGGAGGACTGGCACCTACATCCTGGTCGACATGGTCCTGAACCGCATGGCCAAAGGTAAGCCCCCCTCCCCTGAGGAGCCCACAGCCCACAGGGCTGTGAGCGTTCTTGGAAGGGCGCCTGAACAGCTCTGCTCCCATCTTCAGGTGTGAAAGAGATCGACATTGCGGCCACCCTGGAGCACGTGCGTGACCAGCGGCCCGGCCTTGTCCGCTCCAAGGTGACCATGCCTCCTTCCCCAACACCCACTTCCAGTCACCCCCAGAATCAGCAGCAGCCTGCCTCCTCTGGACCAGCACCCAACCCCTCCCCAACACTCCCCAGGTTTCCAGGAAACACTCTCAGGCCCCTCTCCAAGGGCCTGCTGGGCTGAAGCAGGGGTTCCCTGCCTCCTGACCCTGTTCCTCCTGCCCGTCCCCAGGACCAGTTTGAATTTGCCCTGACCGCCGTGGCAGAGGAGGTGAACGCCATCCTCAAGGCCCTGCCCCAGTGAGCCCACCCCTCAGCAGGCACCCAGCCTCTGTCCTCTGTGCCATGTAAGCATCTGTGTACCTGCTGTGACACCCCTGCCTGCCACTCCGATCCCTCTGAGCAGGCCTGGCCCTTCCACGAGGCGTACGTAGTAAGGAAGCAGAGGCAGGAAGGGCGGGCACCCTCCTGGGCGCTGGCAGCTGGCCAGAGACCAAGGACGTGGGCTGCAGTTCTCTGCTGAGCCTTTTTCTGCTTCGGTCCCCTGGCCTCCACCTCCTGGCCCAGAGGTGCCCCATGTGTGTCCCCTCCCCCCAGGCGTGCCCAGGAGGGGTGTCAGGCCTCAGGTCCCGGCTCCCTCTCCCCTCCTGCCTGCCTCCGCCTTCAGGCTTCCTCCCACCATGTGCTGCTGTGCAATCTTTCCCTATCTGGCTCTGTTTCTAGAAAAATCTACTTTTGTATCAATGTGAATAAAATTAGTGTGTCATCTGTGTGCTGCACTCTGGGATCCCACGCATTTCTGCTTGTTCGCAGCCTCTGGCCTGGCCTGTCTGGACCCAGAGCGGTGGCGTCGGGTCCTCCCAGGGGGAGTGGTGTATTCATAGCTGAGCGGTGGTTATTTTTATATGATGCCTTCCATGTGCCAGGCAGTCTCCACAGTGCCTGGTTTCATTTGCACACCACCAGTACCATGTGGGTACTGTTATTAGATGCCTTCCATGTGCCAGGCAGTCTCCACAGTGCCTGGTTTCATTTGGACACCACCAGTACCATGTGGGTACTGTTATTAGCCCCACTTTACAGATGGATAAAATGTTGCATTGGACAGATAAGCAACTTGCCACCAAGGGAGTATGACTGTTAAGTGGTAGAGCTAGGACTCTTAACTGGCACTTCCTCCCATGCTGCATAGGCCCCTGGTCGGTACCCGGGCAGCTGCTGTGTACCTCAGGCATGGGAGATCTGCAGCAAAGGCCCTGTGAGACGAGAGCAGGTGCTCGCCAAGGGCAGAGGGCACCATCTCTTCCACCCTTGGCTTCCCCAACGCTCCACCCTGTCAATCTCAGTAGCAGCCCTCACCGTGGTCTAAGGTGGCTGTGGTGATGTTTGCTGTTGAGCTGGAACAAGCTCACAGCTGACCTTCTCAGAGGCAGTCAACTTGTCCATGCTTCTCCCGCAGAGCAGCTGGTGGGACTTGAACCGCATGCCTTTGGAATTGTTGCACAGCTGCTTACCACTAGGCTACTGGAGCTCCCTAAGGTGGTAAATGTAGAAACGGAACACAAAGTGCCTTGGGCCTGAGCCCACCTGGGACTCGAAGAGTCACTCGACCATGTTGAGAGGTGCAGACTCCTCAAATGAAAAGGCCAACACCATCCCTCTCAAGCAGGAAGAGGGGGGACCAGCTTGGACACCACAGGCCCCGCCTACTGGCTCACTTGCACTCTGCTGACCCTCAACTCCAGCTGTTTGTTCTCAAAGACTACAAGTAGGAGTAGGGGAAATGGCCATTTGACAAACTTCCAGAAGATTCTCTTTTGTCAGAGGTGTCCATTTCTCTTTTGGACCAGTCTGCTTTTTATGCTCTGATAAAAATCTATCACGGGCTCTTTGTCTATGTGCAGGAGAAGCAGATTACTGATCCAGGGAGGAAAGGAGGGCGAGCCAATGTGGCGCTCTCCCGTCAAGAAAGGGCACCTCTGCAGAGCCGGATCCGTGAGAGAGGCATCTGGATTCTCCTCCCTGAGCCCTGTGATCTTGCTGGATCCTCGGTAGGGCTGACTGGGGCCAGTCCAGGCTCTGAAACCCACCACTGGTGGTGAGTGAGGAGGGAGATCTCAGCCTATGAACTTTAAAAATTAAACAAACCCATCAGATGCTCTGCTGGAGAAGGAGGAACAATCTCCTCCTGTACCAGTCAGATCTGATTTGACGGTACATGCACAAACACAAAAATAATAAAATTTTAAAAAATAATAAAAATTAAACAAACCCACTTCTATCAAGTTCATTCTCACTCAGTGACCTCACAGGATGGAGCAACACTGCGTCGGGGGTTCCCAAGGCTGCTACATTCATGGAAGCAGATCATTCTCCCAAGAAATGGCTGGTGGGTTTGAACCACCAATCTTTTGGCAGCTAAGCATCCTACTGCTGCTCTACCAGGGCTCCTTCCATGGACCTTGTTGTTGGAGGTAGTCAGCTCCAACTGGGAGTTACCCTATTACAATGGAACAAAACTCCACCTGGTCCTATACCAGCCTTGACATTTCTGCTGTGCTTAAGTCCACACAGCCACTGAGCCGATCCAACTCACTTCAAGGTCTTCCTCTCTGATCCTCTATGTCCTTTTCCAGGGACTGGGCCCTGTGATCACATGCCTGGAGTATGTGAGACAGTCTGCCCCCACCTGCCTCAGAAGTGTCCTTGTCATAGATGCTCACCACCTGCCACCTAATGTCGTCAGGCGTGCAGCTGTCTAGTTTGGTCTGGTTCTGGCTGTGCTGTGTCATTTGGGCAACAACAGGGTCCACAAGCAGCAAGAAAATCCAGGGGAAGCCCTTACATCATGGCAAGGATTAAGAAGGAGGACTCAAATGAGGCCTCCGGAGCGGGAGCAGAATGCAGGAATGTCTCAGGATTTAGCGGGAGCTGAGGAGAGCAACCTGGTATACAAAGGTAACTGCCCTGTCTGGTGGCTCAGTGGTAAGGAGCCGCACTCCCAGCCCAAAGACATCTGGTTTGAGTCCACGAGCTGCTCCCTGAAAGGAAGATGGGCAGTCTCCTCTCACGTGATTTACAGCCTCTGAAAACCCGCTGGAGAGTCAGCTCCAAATCTCCTCCTCACAGTCCCTAGGAAAAGCTGCACTGCCAGCTACTGGGCAACAGATGGCGGTATGAGGACAGCAGTGCTGTCCGTGGCCCACTGGCCTTCGGGTCACCCAGGAAAGGATGAACAGCGGCACACCATCTGCTCTCACAACTCAGCTTTATTGACTTCCAGCGTGTCCCCCTTGGTCTGCGCTCAGCCCTGGCTTCCATAGGTCTCTGAGGCTAAATGTTACAGGAGCTGGCGTCACCGGCTCAACTGCTCCCCTCCCTGGTCCCTGGGCTCCCCAGGCAGGGAGGAGGAGAGGCGGCTTGTCTGTAGTGTTGAAGAGAAAGATTGGGCAGCAGGGTCAGAGGCCAGAGAAAGCCATTCAAGCAGCGGCATGCCCGGAGCTCCCATCTCACGCCCTGCCCAGCCCTACACACACTTTCTTCGGGGGCGGCCACCCCGAGCGGCTCTGCCAGCCCCGGCCGGGCACCTTCGGGGGCCACGCCCTGCCCCAACGGTCCTGCCGGTTGGGCCTGTTCCTCTGAACCCTTACTGCCTATGAGAGAGGAAACCCTTCCAGATGCTTCGGGTCTTTGACTTGTACCCTAACCTCTTAATTTTGACGCTGACCCTTAGGGCAAGTGAGAGGGGTCAGGGGAACCACAAGCCAGTCTATTACCCCTTCATCCGCATTCTCACCGCCTCTTCCTGGACAAGCCTCGGCCTCTGTTCACTGTCACAGCCAATGAGGGGCCAACCTGAGCCAGAACTACACATCTCAAGACGCTCTGACGCCACAGCACACAGCCACCCCCAGCCGTCCAGGGAACTGGCCTTGTAGGGCCACCACAGCGGATGGTGTGAGAACTACCCCAAGTTTCCAAGGCTGTAAATTTTAAGGGAAGCAGACTGCCACATCTTTCTCCTGTAGCGCACCCGCAGGGTTCTAACTGCCAAACCTCTGGTTAGCAGCTGCACGCTTTAACCACTGCACCACCAGGCCCCCTCTGCCGATCAGAAGGCAGGCAGAGTGAGTTACACTCACGGACCTGCAGTCCTCAAGACGCAGCACCGAACACCCAGAGAAGAGTTCACAGGCTAAGACTACTGATGCGCCACGGCCCGCCCGAATCACCCACTACCCGGCCCCCCACCTCTACACTACAGGGTGGGTCAGGGAGAGGAGGGTCCCCTCCCAGCACACAGGGGTGGGCGCTGTCCCGGTGGAACTGTGCAGCAACTCTGGATCCAGGGCATCCAGCTCAGAACACATCTGGGGAGAGAGCAGGGGATGGGTGACAGGAGACAAGGGTCAGCGGCCCGTGTGGCGGTAGAGCTGGGCACGGAGGCCTGGGCTAGCCCTGGGGCCTCCCCCTGAGCGCTAGATAGGGTCGTATGGGCTAGGAGTCCCCACAAGGCCGCCCTCCTGGGCCCTGTCCCACCTCTCCCAGGCCAGCCAGCCTCACCTCTGCCTAATCCCAGAGCTGGGGGCAGGTGGAGACAGCAAGAGGAAGGGGGCAGGAGTGGATTCCAGCTTCCAAGCTGTCTGGCCAGAGGTTGGCGCCCCACCCAGCTAGCCTCCCCAGAGCCCTCGTGGCCCTACCGGCCCCAGCATCTTCCTCGCCACACTGAGGCCTTCTGGGGAAGGAAGGAGGAGGGAGTCCTAGCCAGAAGACAGTGAAAGCAAGCGGTGGGGCTGGCAAGGAGTGGAGAGGAGTGAGGAGAAGCAGCAGCAGCGGCAGCGGCAGCAGCACCAGAAGGGAAGCAACAGAACCAGTCAGAGCTCAGCACTGCAGACACCGAGGGGGGCATCTGCAGTCAGACGAGAAGGGAAGACTCCCCTCTGGCAGCCCCACACACCCAGCATGGCCACCAACTCGGCTCAGAGGACCCAGGCCAAGTCCTCCTTCCTTGACCTCTGTCAGTAGCACAGGTAGATGGGGACTTGGTCACAAGAGGCCCAGCTCCAACCTCAACGCCCCTGACCTGAGGCACCCACCCTGGGCTTCACCAAGTGACCTATCAGCCCTGGACTGAGCACAGATTCCCTAGTCCACATTGGCTTAGGGATGGACCTGGGAGGGACCCCAGGGATGGGAGCATGGAGTTAGGGAGGGGCTCTTGCAACTCAGGCCATGCTCCTCTCTGCTCTGACAGTCAGAGCCAGACCCCCAGGCAAGACTGGAACCAAGTCAGGGTGTGACTGGTGCTCAGAGGATGAGGCAGCGTGGGGCCTTCTCCTCCTGGGCAGGACTGGGCCCGGCTGCCTCACCCCTGGCACCCTCATGGGTCCCCCCAGTGCCTGGGTCTTGCTGTGGGCCCTTGGGTTTCCCTGGCCGTTGCTGCTGCGCCCCCCGCCCACCTGCTGGTTTCTTTCCAGTTGCCTCCATCTCTGACAGACTGTAGGCCATGGCAAGCTGGAGGTCCTCGTCTTCCTCAGAGAGGTCAGAGGGGTGCAAGGCAGAAGGTTGCTGGACCTGTGTGCCCCCAGCCCGGGAGGTGAGTGACTGCTGCTCTCGACGGCTCAGCTCCAAGCCCAGCGCCAGGTCATCTGGGACACCTGCAGAAGGCACAGCTACCATGAGGGCTCCAACCTGGTCGGAGGCATCTCCCTGACAGCCTCACGCAGTGGCACGTGGCCATGCACAGCCCTGCTCTGGAACCGACACGCATGCACGTCAGGGCAGTGATTACAAGCACGGGCAGGCAGGTGTCCAGCTCCACCCGGTCCTAGATCCACCTCCTTGCGACAGATAACTCAGTTTCCCTTTCTGCAGCTATACAATGAAATAATGATTTAAAACTAAAACACTGCCATAGGGTGGGCTCGGAAGCACAGAGACGCCACTGTTAGAAAGCACAACTGCTCCACAGGAAGTCCTGGCTGTAATCTCCATGAAGAGGCGGCACCTGGTTGGTTAAGCACTCCGCCATCTAACCAAAAGGTGGGTGGTGCGGACCCACTGAGAGGCTGCCTCCAAAGACAGGCCTGGTGATCCGATTCCCAAAGGCCACAGCTCTGCAGGTCCTTTGGAGCAGTTCCACTGCCCACATGTGGGGTCACTGCAGGTCAGAAGTGACTCCAGGAGGACGAAACGTAATCCACATAGAGAAGAACACCAGGCCTTTCTCCCGAAGCACTGCATAGTGCATCCAAACTGCCAACCTTGAGATTACTCCTAAAACCCACGGCCAGCAAGTCAATTTGACTCATAGTAACCCTCTGCACTGTACATCTTCATGGGAAGAGACCGCCGTCTTTTATCCCTGGCGCAGCTGGTGGATTTGAACTGTTGACCTTCTGGTTAGCAGCCCGATGCATTAAGCATTCTGCCACCAGGGCTCCTTACTATGTAGTGGCGAAGTACTACCCAAGGGCTTGGGAAGGTAAGCTGCACAGGAGATGGCCCATCTTTCACCTGCTGAGCAGCTGGTGGGTTCGAACCCTTGGCAGGTCCCTCTACGCTGGAAGCATCGCTCCTTAACCACTGGTCAATGGGAGGAGACTGTTCATCTTTCTCCAAAGGAGCCGCTGGTGGATTCAAACCAGTGGTGACGCAGGGGCCTCCGGGTTAACAGGACAACTCACTACGTACTTGGAAGTTAGCGCTCCTCTTACTGAGGATCAGGTTCCCCAGTGAAAATAAGGCCACTGCCACCTGCCCTGCTGGCTCGTTTTAAGAACAAAGAGGACACTGTACACACGCACGTGCTTTGCTAACACAGGGCATCCCACCAACTATAGCGGCAGGTGGCCAGCCCTTCTAGACACCGCTCACCTCCCCACCACAGCCACCTTGCCAAAGATCAGCGTCTCAAATCCTGCCAATCAGCCCTGTGGCTGCCACCCCCTCCCTGCACCAAGGGAGGTCAGAGAGGAGCCACTCAGGGAAGAAGCTTCAGGCCTCGGGGTGGGGACTTTCTGCAGGAACGGAGTGGCAGGGCAGCACCTCACCATTGATCGTGACTGACTTCAGCTGCCCGTCCTCCTCCACTTCTACCCGTTCCTGCCCGTTCTCCACGATCCTGTGGGAGACAGCGCAGTTCCTTCACTAACCCAGGCATGGCTCCAGGCTCAGGGGCGCTGCAATGGGCAGCCGAGGTCCTGCCCTCAAGGTCCTGCCCTCCAGGAGCTTATCTTCTAGCCGCAGAGAAGCCTAGGTGAACAGCTTCTCATTTATCCACACCCCCCCCCCCCGCCCCGTGCCCCCAGCTCCCAGAACCCTCTACCCAGCATGGTCCCAGGGGGAACCCTCACCTGCGCGTGGTGATGCGATGCCCCTGGACGAAGGTAGTGGATGTAGAAACAGAGCGAAAAGCGCCAGCGCCAGGACTGAAGGAAAAGGATGAGGAGGAGAAATCTGGGAGGGAGGTGGAAAGGAGAGAGGGAGCAGCGGTTAGGGCAAATTGTACGCTGTGCACTGCAGTCACAAAAGGCCAGGCGATTCTGGGAGCTCAAGACACACAGGAGAAAAAAAAAAAAGACACACAGGAGAGGTGGCTTGCAAAAGTAACTAGCTGCTGAGGGTGGGGGTTCCAGGATGCAGGACTTGCAAAAGTAGAGAAAGCACTTACCGGAGTGCCCAGGGAAGGAGGTAGAGAAGGTAAAGAAAGGGCTGGCATGTCGGGAACCCCGGGTCTGAAGCTCTGAGAAGGGGCCCAGGTCATCTGCAACAAGTTGCAGACTTCAGTCATCTAGCGAACAGCTTCCCCCAAAAAAGTGTGAACTCTGCTTTTACGTCCAAAAACACAAGTTGCTAAGCTACTGGGTCTGATGCTCTTTTTTTTTTAAATGGGGCTTGGGTTTATTTAGAAATTAGATTCCTTTTTAACATTGTTTATGCAAAGCTAGAATGTCAACATGATAAAAAAAATACCAAGACAGAGGAGAAGAAAAGGGACAGGGAGAAATAAGTGACAAGCAGGATATGATATCAGGTAGACGCAGCCTTGAGTCCCCACCCTGCTTTCTGTGTGACTCAAAGTTTCTCATCTGTAAATGGGACAAAATTATCCACCTCAATGGAGGATCAAAGGATATAAAACACTTGATGTATGTTTGTAGTTGTTACGCATCCTCGAGGCAGAACTGACTCCTAGCTCACCCTCAAGTGGGCTTTCAGAGGCTGTAAACGACACAGGAGGAGGATGACCATCTTCCCCCAAGGAGCAGATGATACATTTGAACCTCCTGCTTTTGGGTCAGCAGTGCAATCCTTTGCCACTGGGCCTTCCTACTTGATATATATGAAAGGATATAAAACATATTAACCATGCCAAAAACTGGGATCTATTGTTGTTTGCAATGCTGTTACTGCTGTCACATCACATGATGCTTTGTCGTGCTCTCACCACTGTCACTGCTGTGGGCTAACAATGTACTACTGTTGTGACGACTGAATGAGGCGGGCCTCTGAACTGTCCCGCCAGGGTCACATGGGCCCTGGCATGTGTACGGTTCTGTCTCCCTGCTCACTGGACGGATGCCCCACCTAATCTTTCTGCCTGTGGAATTCCGCTTCTCTCTCAGTCTCAGCAAGAGGGTTTGATTATTGGAAAAGGGTACTGTGACCCCCCCCCCCTCAGTGAGACGCAGTGACACAACAGCTCCCACAATGGGTGATTGTGAATGGGGCACAGGACGGGCACCTCTCATTCTGTGATATGGGAGGATGCAGAGAGGTAGAACTGACCCAACAGCAGTTAAGGACCCACTCTGCTGTCTGCGGGCCTCCCAGCCGAGGGGGACTGAGAGGCCTGGGGGACAAAGGCAAGCCAGGCTGGCCCCGTAAGTTCACTCACCAAAGAGCTCCGCAAAAGGGTCTCCACTCCCGAAAAACTCCCTGAAGACCTCCTCAGGGCTGCGGAAGGTGAAGGGGAAGCCGGGTCCTCCACCGCCAGTTTCCACTCGAGATGTGCCAGTTCCTTGAAGGAGAGATGGAGCACAAAGGGGGATTGGGGGCTGCATCTTGCCCTGGGCTAGGGGACCACACTCACAGCAGGGCCAGGAGCCTCAGAGGGCATCCCTTACCAGTATCTGCCCCCCCCCCACCTTCCACCTCTGGGCCCCAGTGCTCCACCTACCTGCCCCAGTCAGCCCCTCCCGGCCATAGCGGTCATAGATCTCCCGCTTATGTTCTGAAAAGAGAAACCAGGTCACTGTGTGAGCTCGATGCACCCTCCTCCCACCGCGAGGCTAGGCCTCTCAGGACTGCCCAGAAGCTGAGACCAGGGGGGAGCGAATGACAGGGGACGCAGCTCTAGATTTCAGCCGCAGCTCAGCTTGTCACACAGCTGTCTATGGCAGCACATGGCAACCTCATCGAGCGGTTGTAAAGATGAAATGCGATAGCCCACATAAACTTGGGCACACAGCAAGCAGTCAATAACCATTAGTCAGCCAAGCCTCAGCCTCAATGTCAACTCCCCAGAGGCCTTTTTTTTTTAAGCCATCCTAACAAAAATAGAGCTCTGGTGGCCTAGTCAGTAAAGAGTTGTGCTGCCAACTCAAAGGTAAGCGGTTCAAATCCACAAGCTGCTCCTTGGGTGAAAGATGGGCAGTCTCCTCCTGTGTAATCTACAGCCTCTGAAAACCCACGGAGGGGTCCATTATGAGTTGATTCCGACTCCACGGCAATGAGTTGAATAGTATTCCCTATCATGTCACCCTGCTACTTTCCGTCCAGATAATTCTATTTATCTGGTTACTGTCTGCCTTTCCTGGCCAGAATATGATAAAGCCAAGTAGGACAAGGGCTGTTACTGCTTGCCTTCCACTGTCCCCCTACATATGCCAAGGTTCCAACATGGTAAGTACTGGATATTTTTTTTTGCATGAATGAATAACAAACATTGGTTTATATTCCAGCTCTGTAATCCATAGCAACTTACCTTCCCCCAGCCTCAACTTCTGTGCCTATAAAACGGGGGTGTAAAGCCTACCTCACAGGATGTCTGTGAAGAGTCCTGGGGGTTACCAGGGAAAGTGCCCACCAGTCCGGACGGGGACATCACATTAGCTACCTGCCTCATTCTTTGTGTAGGGCCCAGTGGCTCCCCCAAGGCCCCAGGGAGCATTGAGAGCAGACACAGGCTATCAGGTCAGGAGAAGAAGAAAACATACTTGCTTATAGCAACCCTGAAGGGCAAAATAAAAACGCCCATCAAGGTTTTCGAGGACATGTTTTTACAAAGCAGATTGCCCTGTCTCTCCCAACCGTAAAATTTGGGTTGGCAGTCAAGTCCTTAACCACTGTGCCACCAGGGTTACTGACTGTGCACACAAAATTCTTCAAAAGTCCGGCAGAAGGAAGACACCTGGAATACCAGGCTGGAAAAGGCACAGAGGCAGCTGCTGGGCTGCGCAGTATGACTGGGGGTGGTGTGCTGGGCCCATCCCTTACTATCCGACAGCACTTCATACGCCTCTGCCACCTCCTTAAACTTCCTCTCAGCAAACTCTTTATTATCTGGGTTCTTGTCTGGGTGCCACTGTAGAGCCTTCCGCCGGTACCTGTAGGGAGGGGGTGCAGAGGGGAGGCTCAGGCTCTTCTTGAAGACCCCTCTTCCTATTACACCTCTGTTCCATTACTACTCCAGTCCCCACCCATGCCAGCTGCTAAGGCTGCCCTTTTGCCTGGTTCTGGATCCCGCCTCTCCTCTCTGCAGCAATACTGTTTTTACTGTTAGGTGCATGTCTGGAGTCAAGTACAACTCATAGCAACCCAAAGAACAACAGATCTGAACCCTATTACCATCCTCTTCATCTCTGACACACTGAGCCCACTGCTGGAGGCACTGTGTCAATCCACGAGTATCTTCCTGTTTCGCTAACGCTCTACCTTTCCAAGCATCATGTCCCTTTCCAAGGAAGAACCTCTCCAAGCAACATGCCCATAGTATGAGAGAGGAAGGTTTGTCCTCTCTGGCTCTCAGGGGTACTCTGGCTGTTAGTAAGGTGAAGGTGAGACAGATGCAGCCCTAAACCCTCCCCGGGACTCAGGGGGGCCCAGGGAACTGCAAGACCTCAAGGTGGAGACCCAAGACGGCACTGGCTCTGCCTTGTCGCAGAGCCTGGCTATGCTGCAGGGGAACCTGAGCCAGCACATAGCTTGGGCTGAGGATGGGAGAGGAGAGGAAGGAAAGACAGGCTCAAAGAAGGGTCTTCTTAGCTATGGACTTTGTCCTATTCGTCCTCCCTACAAACTTCACTGAACCCTGGGCTTCCAGACTTTCTACGGCCCTGGTCCCCTGACAGGCTTGGGAAGGGCCCCGCGGTGGGCGGCGGGTGTTCTGGCGTGCAGCCGAGGCACTTACGCCTTCTTGATGTCATCAGCGGACGCACTGGGCGGCACGTCTAGGATCTCGTAGTAGGACGTCATGGCAACTCGTCAAAAGGAAGGCGAGCCTCTCTAGGGCTGCAGGAGAGAAGGGATCAGGTGGAAAGAAGTGACAGCCCTTTCCTGGGGTGGCGGGGAAGCCTCGGGCTGGAGCTGCGCGCAGGGGCGGGGTCTGCAGCCGGAGACAGGGCTCCCTCCCGCAGCCTTATCGGCTCCCCGCAGGCCGGGGCTATCTCGGTGCCTGGGAGGAGTCCGGGGGAGCCCCGGGGCCCCCCAGACCCGGCCCGGCCCCCGCCCCCACCTCGTCGTGCGGCTGCCACCGCTGCTCCCGCCGGGAACCGTCTGGCACGAGCGCCCGGCTCGCGACAACTGCGTAGGACGCGCGGGTCCAGCTGTGCGCGCAGGGATGCGTCAGCGACATAGAAACTACTAGAGCCGAGACCGGAGGGGGGCCCGCCCCCGGGGGAGGGGCCCGCGAAGGCTGCCGGGAGGGGGCGGGCCCGTCTCCGGGCACGTCATCCCGGGGGCGAGGCTGGGCGCCCACTGCCTGCTCTCCGGTGAAGCACCCGGTAAATCACCGGGGCGCCAGGCTGGACGCGCACCGCCTCCTCTCCGGTGACGCACTCGGCGGCCACAGCTCCACCGGCCCGGTCCCTCCCCTGCGCTTCTGCGAGCGCCTCGGTTGTTGATGATTGCACACCTCGGAGGAATCGCCACCCCTAGGACGCACAGACCTCCCTGCAGTCCCTGCGCCACCCCCGGTCTCCAAGGCTCTCATTGCCCTCCTTTTTTTTTCTTCTTTTAAAGCGCTTGTGGCGTCTCCCTCCATTACACCTGTAATCTAAAATCAGATCTAAAATTAGTTGAAATGACTATTTTGAAGATTTGTTTCACTTTAACTTACCCTTGTTTGTCAACTCCACAGCGCAAAGGGTATCCGTTATCTTCGTGGTTTTTAACTATTAGGGCAGTGGTTAAGGTTCCAAAATAGCCCTTGAGTGAATATATTGTGAACAGGTTTAAGTTCCTGTCTCCCATCAGGAACAATCTCCATAAACTGTTTTGCCATATTTGGGGAGTAAAGTGAGCCGGTGGAAGGGAATTCTCCACATTCACAAGTACCCCCTCAAGTTGATAATCAATGGGCCTTTTCCACATCAAACATTCCTAGGTTCAAGATTCATGGAAAAATTAACTATTGGTTGATAACATCCAGTCCAGCCCACACGCACGAGGTATCTCCGTGCTAGATGTATAAACAAAAATGTCAACCAATCCCTGCCCTCAAGAGTACTGAGCTAGCTTGATGAGATGCCAACCCGTCAACAGAGCTTCTGTAAACACTGCCCTTTATGATAGGAGCTGTGTACTCAGGGCTCAGGTTTTTCTTTTGTATTTATTTGATCCCCCCCCCCCATAAATATAGGTAAATATCTAAAATTGCTTGAAAATCAAGTGTGATATGGTGCATGGTAGTAATTCTATGTAGGATGCATTCTCGCTGGGATTGTTGTGTGCCACTGAGTCTATTCATGGGGACCCTGTAAGGACCTAACAGAGCTGCCACATAGAATTTCCTATGCTAATCATCAGATTTTTTTTTCCTCCAGTGGAGCCACCTGGTGGGTTTGAACTTTCAAACTTTTGGTTAGCAGCTGATGGTTCTGTGAGTCTTAAAAAGTGCTTTTAGTACTCGCTTCGTCAGCCATACATTAAAATTGGAACAATACAGAGAAGATTAGCATGGCCCCTGCACAAGGATGACTCGCAAATTTGTGAAGCGTTCCATAGTTTTTAAATTTTTTTAATTACTGTGTTGTGATTGTATATGTATATGTAGATGTAGATGTAGATGTATATATGCAACATTTATTGCTTTATATGTATTATAACAATTTTTTTTTAGTGCTTTTAGCCAGCGTGGCCCCGGAAGGTTTCACTGAGGAGGAGGGCTTGAGAGGGACATGAGAAAAAAGTGTAGAGCTGTACATTTGTCCCACTGTGCTGGCTGCGCGCCTGCCTGCATTTGGGGAATTCCCACTGACTGCATGGGCGGGCCTGCATGGGAAACAGGCCACCACCTGCCCCAAAGCCCTGACTCATGTCCTTCCAGACTTGCAGACTGTAATAGCACAGGCAAAAAGCTCTGCTGATCTGATATCCCACCTGGGGCACTGAATCTAGAGCAAGACACAGAGAAGCAGAGGCGAGTGAGAATGCCTTTCTGCAGTAACTGTCATAGTGGGGGTGTGAGCAGCGCCCTCCAGTGTCTTCAGGAGGAACTGCCAGCCTCAGCGCATAGAGTGAGGGGTTTTCTGCAAGAGACTGAGCGGACAGAGGTTTCTCAGGCCGTCTGTCCTCTGCCCTGACCTTGTCTGCCCAGCTTCCCATGGTGCATGCCTGTTTGCTGAGGCTTCTTTGTCTACCTTGCATTTGTTTTTAAATTTGTCTGTGCTGCTTACAAGTGTCTTCTGGCACAAAAAGTAAGGCTCAAACTTGGTATAAGAAGGAAGAGTTAAAAAAAAGAAGGCAGAGTAGTTTAGATTAAGTCACTTCAAAATCTTCCAAATCCCCCCTTTTTCCCCCCGTGGTTTTTCAACAGACTTTTGTCTAGCATCAACTGTGGATGGGCTATCTTATTAAGACTGTTGTTGTTATGTTTCATTGAGTCGCTTGCGACTCATAGCAACCCTATGTACAACAGCCCTAAACCCTGCTCTATCCTATGCCAGTCTCACTGCCTCTGACACACCCATCCCGATTACCCCAGTCACTGAATCAGTCCATCTCATAGAGGACCTTCCCCTCCTGTGCTGTCCCCCCACCCTCCCAAGCATGAGGTCCTCTCCAAGGACCCGTCCCTCCTTACAGCATGTCCAAAGTATGTCAGATGAAGCTCCAGAATCCTTGCCTCCAAGGAGCAGCCTGGTTTAATCCTCTCTACGATGAATCTGTTTGTTTTCTTGGCAGTCCATGGTACATTCAATACTCTTCTCCAGCACCACAGCTCAAATAAAAAGCTTACATTAAGGAGAATACTTGATTGAGCTCATACAAAACCTATACTTGGACCAGGAATCAGTCCTCAGAACAGAGCAAGGAAAACACTGCATGATTCAAAATCAGGAAAGGAGTGTGTCAGGGTTGCATCCTGTCTCCATACCTTTTCAGTCTATATGCAGAACAGATCATTCAGGAGGCTGGGCTTTATGAGGAGGAATGTGGCATCAGGATTGGAGGAAGACTCATCAACAACCTGCATTATGAAGATGACACAACCTTATTTACTGAAGCTGAGGAGGACCTGAAGCGCTTGCTGCAGAAAATCAAGGACTGCAGTCTTCAATAAGGATTGAAGTTCAATGTCAAGAAGAAAAGGATTCTCACCACTGGGTCAATTGGCAGCACCATAGTAGATGGAGAAGACATTGAGGTTGTTAACAATTTCAGCTTGCTCAGCTCCACAGTCATCACTCTTGGCACCAGCAGTCAGGAAATCAAAAGACGAATTGCACTGAGAAAATCTGCATTCAAGGCCCTCTCCAGAGCACTGAGAAGCAATAATGTCAGTCTATAGACTAAGGTGTGCCTGATCCAGACCACGGTCTTTGCAATTACTTGCTGTGCATCAGAGAGTTGGACAATGATTAAGAGTGACAGAAGAAGATTCGATGCCTTTGAGTTGTGGTGCTGGAGAAGAGTACTCAACATACACCATGGACTGCCAAGAGAACAAACAGGTCTATCTTGGAGAGGGTGAAATCAAGTTTCTCCTAGGAGGCTAGGATTTTGAACCTTCATTTCACATACTTTGGGCACATGGCCAGGAGGGAAATGTCCTTGGAGAAAGACATCATACTTGAAAGGGAGGAGGGACAGTATAAGAGAAGAAGACCCTGGATGAGATGAATTGGCACAGTAACTGGGGTAATGGGGTTTGGGGTGTCAGAGTCAGTGAGACTAGCTCAGGACAGGGCAGGCTTCAGAGGTGTTGTACATATTCACTATGAATCACAAGCAACTCAATGGCACATAACAACAACAAATTAAGGAGATGAAAATCGAACTGAGAAATAGACAAAGGCCTACGAGGGAGAAACTTTTAATCACCTTTGTTCACAAGCAATTCCAAGAAATAAATAAGAAAGAACAAGTTATCTAATATTAGAAAATGGGCAAAGGGCACATCCAGTAAATACTTCACTCTTAACAAGAGAACTCTAAATTAAAGCTGCAATAAAATACATTGCTTCACTTGTCAGATGATTGACAAAAATGGAAAAAGCTTAATACAGTAAACTTCTATTTGCAAAATTGTGCCTATAATCATTCTCATACATTGATAGTGGGAGGGTAATTTGGCTTAACCATTCTGCACATCAGTATAAGGTGGTCTATCAAAATTGAAAATGTATGATGATTAGCATTTTGTTCCTAGGGTCGCTATGAGTCATGCTCAACTCGAAGGCAATCAACAACCGTGTGCCAAGAAAGATGTACTGGGGTAGCAATATTTATTTTAACAATACAAGTTGAAAACAACCTGCATACCTGTTTCCAGCTGCCTGAGTGAGTCAGTGATGGAACACCATGCAACAGAACACTATCTAGTCATCAGATGAGGCCTATCTCTGTATACTGACATGGGACAGCTTAAATTTATTGCTCGGTTTAAAAAAAAAAACCCAACATGGAACACAGCATATATTAAATGTACACACACGATTGTATGCATGTAGAAAATCTCTAAACAGAAACAGTAGCGAAAAATACATTAACAGAGCTGGCTGCCCAGAGGGAGACAAGATACTTAGTGCACAGAGAAAGGAAGATCTATTTTCTCTGTTTGGTACCTTTATCTTAAATCTCTTTGGTACATACGGTACCCATGTGCATGTGTAGTAACTATGCACATTGTTGTTGCTGCTGTTAGGTACTGCTGAGTCAACTGATGCATAACCCTATATATACAACAGAACAAATCCTAGGTAAGTCCTGCCTGATTCTGTACCCTCCTCACATGCTGTGCGGGAGCCCGCCTGTTCCTGCAGCCTCTGTGTCAGTCCATGTCATTGAGGCT